TTGGGGGGGGATGAGGGTAGTAAGAGTTGGAAGTGTTAGCATAAACTGCAGATACTTGAATGGTGAAAATGCCTCTCCAGCCCCTTGTCGAACCCCTCCTCCTCCTCGATTTTTCCTCATCCCCTCATACATAGCTGTGCTCTTTTAATGCATCCATTTTCAGGATTTTTTTTAAAGGTCCACTTTCATCTCTGTGTTGAGAATGTATCACTGTCAACTAAGACATCGTTTTTATTGAGACTTCAATCTTAGAGCAGGATCTTGATGAATTAAACCTGTAATTGCTTACCTTTGGCAGAGTTAAACCGAGCTCATCCTCACACCCAGTGTTTTCCCCACTGACAAATGCATAAAACAGACTACTTTGATAAAGATATGTTAAAAAGCTAATGATTTTTTTCATCATTTCTTTGGTGTAGAAATTAATCTAGGGTAGTGCTAACTCTCCAATTTAGCTACAACTGACTTAAATTGACTAAGCAAAATAGGGTTAATTTAGTCTAATAAAACCATGTTGAGAAAAGTGATGAAACTGTAGTGATTTGGCTTAGCAAAAAAAAAAAAAAAAAAAAAAAAAAATCAACCCCATTGAATCATTTGCCTAAACTTGTACATATGCTACAAAACCAGGGAAATGATCAAGCGGAAAATCCTCTATGGCAGCTACTGTCATGAGACATATAGACCTTATCATAATTACTTTCGATTATTTTCCACAAAGCATTTGTTGAACAAGCCCAGTTTGTAAGCTAAGGACATTCGTTAATTGGGTCATTTGCACTGTCAGCTATAAATATGGGATAGAAATTCATCGTTCTCTGAGAAGCACTTGGTATTTATGTCCCAACATGGAAGTCATTTGAATTTTGCACAGCAAAGCTGAATGATTCAAAAGATGTGAGAAATTTAAGCAGATATATTGTATTCTCTGTGCTAGAAGTCATATATGCTGAAAGTAACATAGATCTGGGTGACAGATCTAATGAGTATGTGTGCATGCATCTGTGTCTGTATGTTTGCATGTGTGTGTGTGTGTGTGTTTGTGTGTGTGTGTGTGTGTGTGTGTGAGAATTATAGAGAGAGAAAACTATTATCCAGACCGCATACTTCTGTGTTAAAAATTCATTTGTTTTTGTCACTGTACCAAGCCCAATTCGCCATATTCTCTTTAAATGTTGATATTTATCGTATAAATTAACTGGGCTTGGAAAGTTAAAAGAATATAATGGGATGAGTTGATGTCACTCACATGACATCCCTTGCATAGCTTATGTAAGACTTATTGCTCAAGAACCCGTTCACTGCCAGTGATAAAAATAACTGAAAAGGATTTAAAAAAAAGAAAAACCTAGAATTCTTTAAATATATCAGGATATTTTGGAATTGTAACCACTTTTTTCCGTCCTGTTTAAATGTCTTCCCATCAGATCTTGTGAAGATTTACAAATGCATACAGACAAACCTACGCCAGTGGTGACATAACCTCTTTTGTTTGTGGAGGAAATTAATGTTTGCCAGATGGTGACTTGAGGTTTTTTGAAAAAGGAGAGTCTGGAGTTCAAACATAAGACTTACAAAAACGTAAGACTTCTTTTGTGCGTGTGTGTCTGTTTGTGTGAGTGCGTGCACATGTGCATGTTTGTGTTCTGGTGTATTATCAATACTTAAGTTGAGGCAAGGCATGTGCATGTGCGATAATGTGTTATCAATACAAAAGTTGAAGCTAGGAAATATAGTTTTTTTTTTTTTTTTTTTTTTTTTTTTTGCTGGTGCTGTATCATCAATTTTAAATTTGAAACTAGAAAATATGGTCCATTTGACCGATTGCTCGTACCCTTGTTGACAAGATTGCAAGGTCAAGAACCAAGGTTGTGCGGCCTCTTGTGAGTGAACGTTACTGTTCCGTTGAGAGAACCACACTTTGCCATTCACTTATTCACTGCATTAAAACCAAAGGAAGAGACAGATATTGATGACAGAGGAGAATAAGTGGCATTAATGAAAAATTTCCCATCATGCATTTGTTTGTAAATCGGTGCTGGATTTTTTTCTACTAAATGTTGGATAAGACTTTGAATCAGATGATCATTTCACAACACAATGTTAAAATTTATTTTTGATATTTTTTTATTCACAAGTATTCTGGTGATTATTTCCAAATTTTGATAGCCTCTCCATTTCATTATTATATATAATATTTCTGTTTGATCACTCATAAAAATAAATATAAATGAATTAATTTATATATGATTCTATAAAGCATTCTCACGTTGAGACAAAACTTGTCAGCAAAGTCATTTTTTGGTAAAAATTTTTAAAGAACATATATAACTAGCTATGGAATGAGTTTTTTTTTTTTTTCTCTTGCACAGGTTGCAGGTTGCTTGATGTGTTTACAAAGTTTTATAACATCTAACTTGGAAATCAACTGTTACTAATAAGTAATTTGAAGCATAGCATTCTGTTGGGAAATTATTAATTAAATTGATTTGAATTTGGTGAATAATAACCATAAAGTTTCCATTTTGCCACCAGTTGCAGGTTACCTGTTGCTATACACAGGGCTTACCAAACATAGCCTTTCAATAGGAAATATTACTTATGAATTCTGTTTGAATCATGTGAGTAATTACTGTAAAGGTTCTCTCTGCCACCTGCTGCAGGTTACCTGATGGGGTTACCTTACCTGCGTTGCCTAAGGCAGCTTTTACCAGACAAAGCTTTTCAATGGGAAATATTAATTAAGTCTGGTTGAATTTTGAGAATGATAACCCATGAAATTTTATCTACCACCTGCTGCCTTATGTAGCGCTTATCAAACGTATCCTTTCAATTGGAAACATTATTTATGAATTCAGTTTGAATTTTGTGAATAATTACCATAAAGTTTCTCCACCTGTTGCATGCTACCCGATGGGTTAAACAGCATTTACCAAACAAACCATTTCAATGAGAAGTATTATTTATTAATTATGTTCAAATTTCGTGAGTAATTGCCGTACAATTGTCTTTCCAGACTACCTGATGGGTTTACGCAGCTCAGGAACCTCACCCACCTTGGACTAAACGATGTCTCCCTGGCTAGACTTCCCCCAGATATCGGCAGGTGAGTTTGACAAATTTCTGTCCCTTCTGAACAGGGATGGCTGGATACAGAAATGGAATAATTGCTTGGTTTTTATATACAGACACTGGTAGTGTCTGTATATATTCTGATTGGTCAATCTGTCTGCGTCGTCGCTGTCTGAACATTTTTCAGCTTTGCTGCCTTGTTTCCTGTATGGGGTCTGTATATTTGCCAGCTTTGCTGTCTACGGTAAAGTCTTGAAAATTTCGTCGTTCTTGAAAATTTCGTCGGTCGACGATTTTCCGCAGACGTAATTTTTTTCCCTTTGAAAACTTCGTCGACCTTGAAAATGAGGTACTCGATAATTTTTGAAAAGTTCGTCGCCAAATATGGCCGCGTTGTCCAGCTCAAACATAAAGGTAATGCGTCAGTTGATTCAAGACAATGATACGATCAGGATATCATTGCCGATAACACTCTCAATGGGAGATAGGAACAATAGTGCGCCCCTGCGAGCGGTCATTCACAATACAGATGGTTTAGATGTGAATTCCCGTTCTCAATTGCGGGAACGTCGGCCTTTTGTCTTTAGTTTTATTACTATTACCTGGCTCAAGGCGGCAAATAGAAGACACAGGCCGCGGCTCTGTCATTTGTAACGCCGTTATTGTTATCGGCGGCTGTCCTAAATGAGGAAGACACAATGAAAAAATCAAGATATTATCTCGAAGGGAAATGTACCTGTCACTTCTATTCATGGCCATGTTCAATTTAGGACCATTTAACG